ATATATATATATATATATATATATATATATATATATATATATATATAACAAAGAATTACTGGGTCAGCACCTTGTTAGTTCTCCAAGCTTTTTCCAGGTTTCTCTGTGAGAAGCTTATGTTGATTTACAGTGTGACAACACCCACTAAGCAGGGGGCTGTATGATCTCATTAATTTTGTTCTCATTTTATCAGATGAGGCATGAATATAGCAGGGTGTGTGTGTTTGTGTGTGTGTGTGTGTGTGTGCGCGCGCGCGCGCGCGTGTGTGCGCGCACGCTAAGCCAAACATGGTGATAAATGCCAGTTTGCTCTTTCTGTGGGTTTTTTCTTTAGTTTTTATTTTATGTATTACTTGCGTGTATGTGTGTGTGTGTGTATGTGCATGCGTGTGTGCCGTGGTGTTTGTGTAGAGGTGAGGGAATGGCTCTCAGGACGTGGTTCTCTCTTCACTGTAGGTTCGGGAAATCCTACTCCAATTGTCAGGTTTGTGTGACGAGTATTCTTCGCCCACTGCTCCATCTCACCAACCCCATGTGTGTATTCCCTAATGGTCGTGTATTTCCTAAGTCATCTTGGCCACTGATTTGTGCCAGAGTCTTTACCTCCTAGCTTTACATAGTTGTGCAGTATGTTAAGTTTGTCTAGTTTTCCAATTATCTTTTTTTGTCTTTAAGATCTGCGTTATTTTGTTTATGTCTCCCTGTGTGCACGTCCCTGGGCAACTTTACGAAGATGCCCAGGGAGGTCAGGAAGGAGTTTCAGATCCTGGAAGTGGAATTAAAGGAAGTTGTGAGGCGCTGATGTGGATGCCCAGGTTTGAACTGTCATGGGAGTGTCCAGTGGATTAAAATCTGAAAACAAATTAATTGGGAACACCAGGGCACCTGCCCATCATGCTGAGGCTAGGATTGCCGTAAAGCTGCTGGACCTGATGATGGAAAAATAACAGATAAAGTTACCAGAACGTGTCAAGATGTAGTCTGGAGACCAAAAGCACAGCGAATATAGGATGAGAATATCTTCTGTGACTGACCAGGGCTTTGCTGAGCATCCTGACTCCTTTTTGTTATTATTTTCTTTGAGAACTTCATACACAAGTACTATATTTACATAATTTCTGTCCCTTCCTTGCCCCCTCCAACTTTGTGTCTTCCCCATTCCCTCTCAAATTTATGGTCTCATTATTTTATATCTATATCCACATATGTATTATATGTATATATATATATACATATACATGTATATGTGTATATATTTTACGCATATATAAAATGCATATGTATATAAATACAACCTGCCAATTTCATTTAGTATTGCTCACGTGTATAATGTGTTTAGGTATTTAAAAACCTACCAAGGTGTTTAACCCTGGGGATGAAGGAATGAATCTCCTGTCTTTTAGCAGCCATTAATTACCTATAGCTCGTTATCAGAGGAGGGGGAGGGCTTATGTGGTCTCTTTCATCCATGTTGGCATGCTGACTAGAGTTGCCATCTTCTGTAGGCAACTGTGCTGTTGATATTCCATGGGTGCAGCTTCCTTGTCATATACAGAGCAACTGTCGTGTAACAGACGTCTTGGTCTTCAGGCTTTTACAGTCTTCTTACCTTCTCTTCCACAGGTTTGGGTATAGAGGTTGTAGATGTATCAGCTGGTTGACACGTCTGACCAGTCAGTTAATCTCCGCATTTTGACCAGTTGTTGCTAAAAAGGGCTCCATCTGCTTCGGAAGCCAGTTGCTTTGATAAGGGTTGAGAACTACACTTTTCTGGGTGAAAAGATAAGTATTTAGAATATAGTTAGAAATGATACCGATTTATAAAAGTGGCAGTATCTTCTCCTGTATGATCCATAACCTTGCTAACCATGGGTTCCCAGTACCAGGCATGATTTTCTTTCTGTTAAATCGGGCTTAAGTCCAACTGGGCAGCTGTTGGTTGCTACCAAGATATGTATGAGTGCCACTATTGCACCTTTTTTGATATCTTGTCATGCTGGTCATTGCTGTAGGTCCTAGATGTCACAGAGGCTTAGGACCATGATTGTTTTTCACCCTTGACAGCTTGCCTAGTACCATTATGTCCTATAGGATCTAGTTCTCAGGGAGAAGGTTCCAGGTCTGTTCCAGAAAGAATCCTTCCAGGACTATGCCTGAAATATGTGATGTGTTCAGCAGATCTTACCTTCAAGTCCTGGAACACAATCAAGGGCACTGGCAATAGGCTCTACTGTTTTGGGAGTCTCTTGGCCTCTCTTGACTAATAACTCAAAGGGGAATTTTCCCCATACCTGGAACTGGGACTTTTCTTCAATAGCATGTGATGAGGGTATTATTGCTTTCAAGTAATGTCATGTGTGTGTGTACATACACGTATATAATACCTGTATGTTTAAGTAAACATAAAATAATATGTTTCCCTGTTGCTTTTTAAAATGTTCTTAGTGTTACTTACTCCTCAACCCTCTTTCCTTCTGTATTGCTATCTGTCCATCCCAGTAAATTTCTACCCCTCATTTTTCCCATCTTTCCCTTCATGGTACCTTCATTCTACTTTCCTCCTTTCTGAACTTGAATAAGGATGTAAACAAGATGGTAGATTCCAGGTTATACTCCCCACCACTGACTGATGAGACCTGGACTCTCACAAATGAAAGGTGCTTAAAGTGCATGTACATTGCAAAGAAGGTTGCAAAGCAGTCCTTTTCCCATGTCTGTTTTAAAAGGAGGCTAGGAGGTAGAGGGATGGCTCAACAGTTGCAAGCTCTTGCTCTTTTTCCAGAGGACCAGAGTTTAATTCCTGGCACTCCTGTCTGCACTCATGGGTGGCTTCACAACTTCCTGGAACTCTGCCTTCAGGGGCTGCCTTGGGTACCAGCATGAATGTTCGCATACCTACAATTTTAAAAGTAGGACAGTTAGACAACTAAAGTGTCTGTGTGTGTGTGTGTGTGTGTGTGTGTCTGTGTGTGTGTCTGTGTGTGTGTAAAATATGCACCTTGGGGCTAGGGAGATAGGTAAGTGGATGTAGTGCTTATTATAACAATACGAAGACTTGTGTGTGGATTGCCAGCACCTACATAAAAGCCAGACACTGCTGCATGTGTTTGTAATCCCAGCTTGGGTCCAGAAAGAGGCAATCCCAGAAGCTTGTTAGGTAACCAGTCTCATAAAGCCAACTTGTTCTGAGTTCACTGAGGGACACTGTCTCACAGCAAATGTGGAAATCAATAGAGGACAAGTCCCACTGTTGCCCTCTGGCTGTCGTGTATGTACACAAAGGGGGGTACACATGCAAACACACATACACACACACTGTACATGGCCTGAAAATACATACTTAATAAACTTAATTTACCCTGAAAACAATATGCCGTTTTATCTGGTCCTAGGAGTCACATTATCTCTGCATATTTTAATAATTTCTATGTGATTTCAAGTTTAAATACAATTTACTGAAATGTTTTCTTTCTAGTCTCTGGAGAATACAGAGGGCAAAGATGGAACCAAACTAACTAAACAGGAGGTAAGCCTGCCTTTGACATCCCTTCGTAAGTTTTAGCATTCAAATGTTTCTTGTTTTCTGCTTGTGGGGGAATGCCATGGCAAACGAGTCCACTGAGGCTAAAAGCCAGAGGTAAGAGTCTGCGTGTAGTTCCACTTGGCTTAGGCATGTTTCATTGAGTACGTTGATGAGCTATTTTTCAACATTGTTTGTGTTTCCGCCTGTTGGTCCTGCTGTCTGTCAAAGTGGGTATTGAGAATTCCTTCTGGGCAGAGAACAAGATAATAGGTAAATTCATCAAGGAGAACAGAGCCCGCTTTTCATAACAAGAAAATGAAAGGTTGTTGATTTCATAAATTTTCTGCTCCAATGAGTGAATTATGAATTCCTTTTTTGATTCTGAGTATTTACCTAGGAGGCTTCATCTCTAAAGACAAAACCATGGAAAGTTTCATAATACATCAAAAAATACTAGAGCTTTTTTTTAATTAGGAAAATTCTTAAGTTATTCAGATAATTAGTCTGTGACTCAAAGATGCTTTGTGTTTAAAAAAAAAAATAGACACCTGGAAAAGAGTTAAGAATTTGGAAGACATGCTTGTGTCTGACCCTTGATGGAGACACTAAAGAAGATGTCTTAAAAAGTCAGAAGTGAGATGTATGCATGATGACAGCTATTTCCTTTTGCATAGAGCTTTTCAGCGTGTGGGAAACTTCAGCTCTTACACTTGAACTTATAAACTAAAAGGGGTCACAAGAGAGCAAAAACAATATCCAGTTACAGATCCTTTGATGGGGTGATTCATATCATGGTTAATAATTCAGAGGAATTTGTCATGATACCCAAACCCCTGCAGAAGCTTTGTGTGCGGAAATTCATTCTGCCAAGGAAAAATCTTTAACAGAAGCTGTAAAGACGTAATGTGAAAACAAAACCACCTGCCCTTGTCATCCACACACCAACAATGAACTGTTGGAGATAATCATGAAATCAGAACTCTGCAGTCAAGACACCACACACATGCTAGAGCTAACAAAAAAAAAAAAAGTAAACACTTAGAAAATGACAAAACATAGTTTTTAGAACAGCTGGTGAAGTGTAACCTCAATGTTTTTGGATTTAGGTACTACACACACACACACATACACACACAGCACTTGGGTTTCTCTCAGAGGGTTGACATTTCCCTTGATCAACCAGAAAGCCTTAAAGCCATTGTTCAGAGGAGACACATGACTGCAGAAAGCCTTCCTAGACCTTCTATGCCAGAAGCAAATCCTGCTGGCTGGGCACATATAAAACATAAACACGAGTTTTGTGTATGTAACTTACCTATGTTAGTTAGCCCAAGGATTTTCATGCATTGTGTTTTCCTGGTTTGTTGCTTTCCATTTTACATTGTATGCTTTTATGTTAGTCCTAACAAAAGTATTTTGTAGACAATGTTTTTCTGTTTTTTAACCTGTCACTCAAGCCAAGGCCAGATTAAAACTCACCACATGTCTTCAGGACATTAGCACAGTCATTTGAAAGTAAAAGGTCAGCGGTTAGCTTGAGTGTTGACCAGTGCTCAGAACTGCCAGAAGAACACTGATTGATCTTTTTTTTTTCCTCCCCCAGTGAATTGAAATTCAGTTCAAACTGAATTTTCCAGTCATACCATTCTGTATGTCAATCAGTATGAGCAGACACCAGTTACAAAGGGGGCTCTTCTTTTGAAGATTTCCCACCATGGCTGTGGTATTTGGAGCCTGACCTTTAGGAGACCTGGACAGTAAAAAAAAAAAAAAAAAAAAAAACCTAAACACCATGATCATTACCCTCTTACTTACAAAGCCGTCCATCTCCATTCTTGTATCTGATCCGTTCAATAACCCTAAGAAGCATCCCTTTCTCTCTTTCCCTCCTTGAGGTGGGAGAGATGGGACCCAGCATCCTGTGTGTACATCCATGCTCAGCCTTACCACTGTGCTGCAGCCTTTCTCAAGAAGCATTCCTTATAAAAAATGTATGAGTACCTATAAATGCTCCCAGCACTGGTCCAGGCCCTGTGAGTCCCACGGCGAAAACCAGAGAAACTTTGCTTTCCTAAAGCCTCACTTTAGTGAGGAAGAGAGAGTAAAGTAAAATAATAGGACATTTGCTATTTAAAAAAAAAAAAAAAAAAAAAAAAAACAGAGAGTGTGGCTAAGGTTCTGTCAGAGCGGTACTGGTTTTGATAGAAGATGGGCGGAAGCAATGATCCCTATTTTAGTTCAAGGAGAAGGGTTCTTAGAGAAATAATACAATTTTCTCCAAATGTCCCAACTTGTAATTAGCAGAACCAGGAAAGACACCTGAGGCCCCCGACCCCCAGTCCTCCTCCGCCACCCAGCCTTTGTGCGGTGCTTCAGTTGAGCGACCCAGTTCCTGCTTTGATCTTCTCCATTGCCCAGCCAAGGCTGTCCTTCTGTCTTTCTCTGACTCCCAGTTTTGAAAAGGAGGCTGCTCCTGAACTTCTCGCTTGTTTTGTTTTTGAGAATCAAAAGCAACTTGACTTTTAAGGTTTGCTTTAAAAGAGCATGCTGGGGCTCAGAAGCAAAGGACCGCCTTGTGAAAATAAGTTTGAGGCAATCATCGGCAGAGGCCAGTGGTTCTACTTGGATCTCCCTCTCCTTTTGAACTCGGTGAGAGTAAATGTGCGTGCTGCATTTGCAAGATGTTGAAATAGACCCCGGATCTTTCAGATGGGGGCATTCAGCCAATCAATAGTGCTTCTTGGGTAGCTCTTGTGTCTCCAGTGACATAAGGTACAGTGACCTGGCATCCTAAAACCCTTCAGTCCCTACCTGAGAGTCATTCCTTCAACCAATTTTCCCATGACTCCTTACTTAATCAACAAATTAAGAGAAATTCCGTGACAGGCCCCCTGCCCAGTTTTACCAGGTGAGGCTGAGCCTCAAATGAATATTTCAAATGCTTTAAATGTTTTAAAGGGAAATAAATAGCAGCCTAGTCTGTTTCATAGCCAATAAATTTAGTCCAGTCATTTATAGATGTTAAGGCCCTGGAAGCTGATGGAACTTTCCAGGAAGGCATCCACACTTGCATGTAAGCGATACTGCTGACTGAGTGAAAGGTTAGTCTCAGCCTTCACTGCAGTGAAAAAAAGAAAATCCCCCATGGTGATTACTGGAAAGGAAGTTTTAAAAAGTCTTTTTTTTTTTTTTTATGACACAGAAGAGCTGGTAAATTTTAGGTAGGAAGTCATAAAATGATTTTATGGTAAATCATCTACTTTTTAAAGTCTGGCTGGGTTAGATAGCCCATAGAGACTGTGTGGTTTCAATTTCCCAAGCTTTTCTTTTGGAACACTTATTCAGAACCTAAATTAAGTGAGGGGCTCAGTCAGCTGGAGGCCAGCCCTGTAGAGCAGCACTCTGATGAGTGTGTCGTCATGGGCAAAGCCTCTTCCGGGTGTTCAGGTGTTGGCATGGAGAAGAAAGGTTGTGCAGTTGGGAAATCCTTCTCATGGTTTGTTTTGTATTTTGTTGTTTTGTTTTGGTTTGGTTTGGTTTGGGTTTGTTTTTTTTAACCTCTCTTTAATAAAATTTTGCCAACAGCAACTGGTTGGGTAATGGACAGTTACGCATAATGGCTAACGAAGTTGGCTCCTTTCCGTAAATGAATCTATGGTTTTCTGGAGCTTGCATCTTTCATTTGCCTCAGCACTTACTAAGGACCCCTGCTAGGCACTGGCAATACTGAGGTACAAAAAGATGGCCCTCTGGGGTAGGAGACTGAAGTGACTGGTGAAGTGAAGGCCAGCAGAATGCTTGTAGATTGACAGCCAAGCAGGAAGGGATTTGATTTGGGTCTGGTTTGTTTGTTCCTCTTCAACCAGGGGGCTGCCACTCTGTCCCATGGACGGGGTTGTTTGGCCTGCTGTACTTGTTAGGTGGGGGAAGTACGTTTTGAGGCTGCACAGAAACTTCAGAGCTGAGCTCTATAGTAACGAGGGGATACCCTTCTGCTCTTCTATATTCAGAAACCATGTTGAAGAAGCCTGGGGCACATATGCTTTGTACAGCTTAAGTGGGAATGTTGTCTTTTCTTCAGCAATACTCAGTGTGGTTGACCATCCTGAGAAAGGCATCGCAGGCCTTGGGTCCTGTCTCCATGGGGTTTGTGGGTGCGAAGTCTCAATTGCACCCAAGAGAATCCTAGCAAGCACTTTGGTGCCTCCTGTGAGGAATCCCTCATGTGTTTTTCTTTTCTGACCAAAGTTGTCCCTCAAGCTGTGTGCTGACTGTTACGTCCTATTCTGGGTGATGACTGTGTCCCAGCTAACAGCTTAACCTGCATGGCTCCTATTCTGTGTTCATTCTGTTAGCTGGACTTCAGTCCAGCTCTGATCATTCCCTGAGACCCCAAGGTTAAAATTATTCATGGAGGCTCTGGCCCTTCATTTTCTTCTGTGATTTAAAGAAAGATGAGTTTAGCTCCTCTTGAGACTTTCGGCAAGAAAGTTTTTAGACACAGTGATGTCAGGAACCATTTCTTCCAGTATGACCTGACCTACTGACCTAGGTTGACTTCAGCACCGATTCAAGAATTTCTCCAATTCTTCTCAATCATGACACAAGTTCCCACTGACCACTTTTGCTGACCCACTTAAAGAAAAATTATTTGAAGCATTTAAACTATCATAATGAGTCAGAGTCTTCATAAACCAATGTGAGTCAGGGAAAAGCTTGAATTCATTTATTCAGCAAATGCTCTTAGAAGTGTTTGGCAGTATCTGGTGTTCTATCAGAGACAGAGAAGCGATGAACAGAATGAACAGAAAATATGAAGCAAAACCTGCACAGGAAACCAATTTTAGTGTTAGAAAGTTAAATCCCTTCACCCAGAAGAGGTAGGTTCTCCTGGGTAGTAGTGTCAAGCGTGTGAGCTGGGTGCTTGTGATGATAGCTTGTATTTTCTTTAGGGTGCCATCAGCTATTAACTCACACAAACCCAAAAAGATTTTCTAAACAAAACACTAAAACTAAATTTAGTTAATATATATCTAATCAATTTTCTAAGCTTTTAAAACTAACAGATTAGTAAAACCTGGTTTTAGTAGAAAATTTTTTTATTTTGTTCTGGGTTTGAGAAAAACAACAACAACAAAAACAAACAGACAGACAAACACCTTTCTTACCTGTGTAAGATTTCCAGTCATTGTTTTCCCAGCATAGCGGAGATGGGAAAGTACCACAGTGATTTCTGTGTAGCTGCTTAACTCTCTTACTAGCTTAAAGATTTTGGTTCCATTTTGAAGAGACCACATTTTAAAGTACCTCAATGTTCTGATGTCAGTTCATCACGAAAGAAGCGTTTTGTGGTTTAGAGTGGAGCCAGGATTCCTCTCTTCTCTCCTTTCCCAGCGCCCTGAACTGGGAAAAGCCAGTTGATGAAAGGTGAACCTGGATCCTGTGGTAACACTTTCTCTGGAGTGCCCAGTGGACTGGGCATGTTTCATTGAGCTAACCTGTAGAGGATGTTGGGTGTCATACATTTTAGTCTTTCAACAAAGTGGAATATATCAAGAGTGAATTTTTAAAACCAGCCTCAATGTTCATAATTACCAAAAAAAAAAATTCCCTATTATTGTTTTCTTTTTTCTTTTTTTTTTTTTTTTGTAGCCCACAAGACGGTCAGCCCGATTGTCAGCGGTAAGTCCTCGGAACCCCTGTTGGAGCGCCTTAGGAATGTGTGTCCCCTTGTCTAAAGCAGAAGGCTGATTAGCTGGTGTTTTCCTTGAGTTTCTTCCTTTTGGAAAGTACTTGGGGTCTGTTTCCAGCAAATTGGACCCACGTTGCCAAGAAATTCCCTTGATTATCCATGTCAGTGAAAAACAGTGGCCAGGTCTGTTATCAAGTATATAAAACCCATGCAGATTGGAACTGCTGAATCCCTGAGACAAAGTACAGTAAGCAAATCCCGGTCTCAAAATTCTACAGGTGTTAATGTCAAAATGGATCCAGAATGCACTCTCTGCCCATCCTGTTGAGCACTTTCTCCCTGGATCAGAATGTTCCTGAAGCCGACTAATTGATACACTTTAGCCGCATTCCAGCCCTGGGAAGTCTTTGAAAGAGTGGCGCTTTTACTTTGTCTCCTGGAGCCTCTGTCAGCAGGCCATGCCCAGGGAGAGAATTAGAATAGCACTAGGCTGAGCCTGTGCTCCAGCTCAGAGCCGGCCTGTATGAGCTGCTCTCTCCCTCTTATGCTCCTCCCTGTAGTTTGCTTATCCAGTACAAACAGACCAACCTGTCTGAATTTCTAGAGGATTTTGTACCAAATTCCTGTAGTCTGAGCTATCTTCTTTAAAAAAAATTAAAAAATGGAAAAGGTTCACTGGCAGTGAACCATCCCCACACTGAAGGTCACAGGCACTGCCGAAACGTATGAGGAAGTGGATGCTACCACCACTTAGGAGTCCACAGTGTCAGGATCAGTCACCAGAAAGACTAAAGGTCTGTTACAGATCTCAAGCCAGTTAGCGGAATAACCCTCAACAGTCAAAGAAAACCCAAAAATTTAAAGAGGGTTTTCCTGAGCACCAGCAACCAGCATTATAAGATCATGGCCTGTGGGGCCAACACAGCCTGAAGCCAGCAGTGTTGTTCCAGACTATGAACCACCTCGGAGAGCTGGGGAGACAGTCACTGGGTTTTTGGTTTCCCAGCACCCACTTAAAGGGCCAGTGTGTACCTGTGCATCTCGGCACTGGAAAGCAGAGGCAAGAGGATCCCTGAAGCGAGCTGCTCAGCCAGTCTAGCCCGACAGTGAACTCCAGCTCAATGAGGGGCAGTGACTCAAAATATAAAGTAGAGATTGGTTGAGGAAAACATCTAACATGGACTTTGCGTGCTCTCTCTCTCACACACACACACACACAATGTTAGTTTCTTAGTACTATTTTGATACTGACCTGTCAAAACTTACAGTAACAAAGTCTAAAGTTAGGAAGATGTAGGAGCACAAAAGCTTCTGTATTTGGGAAGCAGACTAAAGCTTTAGAAAGGTAACAACACTTATAAAATTTTTCCTGTTTTATAAGCTCAACACTTTCAAAAAAAACTATTTTAAAGATCACTTCTTTTTCCTTTTTTTCTTTTTTTCTTATTATCATTTATTGCAATTTATTCAGTTTGTATCCTGGCTATGGCCTCCTCCTTCTTCTCCTCACATCTGACCCTCCCTCCCTCTGCCCCCCCCATGCCTCTCCCCTAGTCCACTGGTAGGGGAGATCCTCCTCCCCTTCTATCTGACCCTAGCCTATCAGGACTCATCAGGTGTGGTTGCATTGTCTTCCTCTGTGGCCTGGCAAGGCTGCACCTCCCAGGGGGAGGTGATCAGAGAGCCTGCCACTGAGTTTATGTCAGAGAAAGTCCCTGCTCCCCTTACTAGGGACCCCACTTAGAGACTGAGTCTATGGGCTACATCTGAACCAGGATTTTAGGTCCTCTCCATGCATTGTCCTTGGTTGGGGTATCATTCTTTTCAGGGCTCCCAGGGCTCAGTTTTTATGGCTCTGTTGGTTTCCTTTTGGAGTTCTTGTCCCCTCCAGGTCTTTCTGTCTCTCCTTTCTTTCATAATATTCCCTGCATTATGCCCAAAGTTTGACTATGAGTCTTGGCATCTGCTTTGCTACCCCGATCTGTAGAGTCTTTCAGTGGTAGGCTCCTACACTGTTCCCTGTCTTCTCCTGCTTCCAATGTCCTAGGCATATATCCAAAATATGTTCAAGTACACAAGGACATTTGCTCAACCATCTTCATAGCAGCTCTATTCATAATAGCCAGAAGCTGGAAACAACCTAGATGTCGCTCAACTGAGGAATGGATATAGAAATTGTGGTACATTTACACCATGGAATACTACTCAGCTATTAAAAACAAGGAAATCATGAAATTCACAGGCAAATGGTGGGAACTAGGAAAGATCATCCTGAGTGAGGTATCCCAGAAGCAGAAAGACACACATGGTATATACTCACTGATAAGTGGATATTAGCCATATAATACAGGATAAACATACTGAAATCTGTCCTCCTGAAGAAGCTAAACCACAAGGAAGACCCTAGGGGAGATGCTCAATCCTCATTCAGAAGGACCTCTTTTTCTTTTTTAAAAAAATATATATGTTGTTGTTACATGTATTTACTTGTGTGTGAGGGGTCAGAGGATAACATGCAGGAGTCAGTTCTCTCTTTCTATCATGTGTGCCCCAGGGATAGAACTCAGGTTATCAGGCTTGGCAGCAAGTACCTTTGCCCACTGAACTATGTCACTGCCCTCCTTTTTAGTTTTTTGAGATTGTCCTACTCTGAGGCTGGCCTCAAACCGGCAGCCATCTCCTGCCCCAGTGTCTGAGTGCTGGGGTTTCCAGGGTGAGGCACCACATCTAGCTTTTTTTCCCTAACAGCTGGTCCTTTGGAACGGAACTGTCTCCAATTATACCGTACACATAACGAGTATATTCAATATGAACCCTAAATCTTTTACAGATACTAGAGGGAAAGGCATATTTTTTCTTCAAAGGGAACACCCTGGGACAGTGATTTCTATTTTTAAAACAGTCCTTTAGTGCTCAGAGAGATGTATACATTTTAAACCTTTATTAGAGAAATATCTGACCTAAAATATTCACAGAGAAAAATGTTAACTTTTAATAGCCAGACAGGTCACCATAGTTATACTCTTAATAAAAAGCTCTAGACACAAATGAGCCGAGAGTCTTGTGTTAGATTTTTATCTTACATTGGCATTGAAGGGGATGAAACAGGAAGAGGCTCGGCTACAGAGCCTGAAATCTGTGTCATGGGGAGGTATTTGGTTATGGCTCTGAAGAACTTAACCAGCCTCAGCCTTGGTGACCGATGGAAGGTGGACTTTGTGATATGCTCTAATTTCTAGTCTGTTGGGCAGGCCACTAAGAGTGAATTCATCAAGCCATTTAGACGAGGGTCGGAGTCTCTCCTCTTGCTGTGGCGTCATGAAAAACAGAAGTACAGAGATATCAGAAAGAAAAACTTAAACCTGCCCTGGAGAGCTTTACTGGACTAGAGCCTGATGAGTCAGCTTTTCCTTCTCATCTGCCCGTCACTTGCATGAAAATAGTACCCGATACTGAAAGGACCAGTTTGAAATGGACAGAGCCACAGCCAGAACGAATGGTTATTGTTTCAGCCCCATCTCACTTCTTTTTCGTGCTGATGGCATCAGTTTCAGTATTTGTTTGATTTAAATTCTTTTTTGCAGAAACCTGTGCCACCAAAACCCGAGCCTAAACCAAGAAAAACATCTGCTAAGGTAAGAGGCATTCCTCTCTTGCTTCCCTTGTCCTTCTAAACAGTGAATTAATTATAACTCCATGCCTAAAAATCATCTGAGGAGAGAGCCTGTTTAATGAGCCAGGCTAAAATGTACAGACCAGAAAGTCATCCTCATCACTGTGGGCTTTTCTCAAAAACACGCAGCGCCATTGCACACGTTAGCAGGAGCATGTTTTCCATTTGGTTAGTGAGGTTCAGGAAGCACAGCTAGGTGCTCCGAACAGCCCTGTGTGAGAAGGGGCCTAGCAGCTGCCTCGGAACATGCAGTCAGTCAGTCACATGGGGGTCTGGTGGAGTTAGACCTGGCCCTGGATGCCACCACTACCACCAGTACCACGTGTCAGAGGAGGGCATCACATCTGGTAGATGGCCGTTCTGTGACTAGCAAAAAAAAGGATGATCGTTTACTCTAGCAAGTAGTGAACGTTAGCCTGACACCCCGAGAAACCTTCTGGGCTTCGCTTAGTCACCCTTAGCTCAGTCTGCTCTACTGAAATAGATATGAATATCCTGTTTAGCAAATGAGGAAAACCGAAGTGCATTGATACCGCTGAATTTAGCCACAGTGACTGTCCTGGACTGGACCCCTCAGAGCACCCAAACTGTCTGAGCTTGTGTGTAGTAGTGAATACAGTTTTCTAAAGAGGAGCACAGCACTGTGGCACAGTCGTAAGATTAGCAGCATTTCTTCATCTGGGCCTTTCTTTATCATACCTTCCTGGTTGTGTAAGATTTGTGGCTCCACATGACTGTTCACACTGGAGAGCGACAGTAAGAGCTATGGCCCCTGGTGGATGGGTTTTTTTCCCCTAGGCTTTTCCCCTTGTACCAGGCCCTATGGCTGCTCTCTCCACAGTAAAACCACTCATCGTAGAAATGTCCCTGGAGTGATACCTGGGCCAGTTACAAATGTTCCCACAGAATAGAAGTGCTGGTGGGCTCTGCAAGCAGCCTGTTAGAGTGTCACGGAGCTACAGTGTAGTTGAGGTGAAACAGCAAAGTTGGGTTCCCACTTTCCGCTAAGGCCACCCGAGGTAGGCATCCCCTTATCTGGGTGGGTTCCAGCAGGGTCTCCTTGAAGTTCGATACCATCGGTCTGCATCTAACACGTTCTGTTTCCCTGTGCTTTGATCCGTTAGAAAGAACCTGGAACAAAGATTAGCAGAGGGGCTAAGGGGAAGAAGGAAGAGAAGCAGGAAGCTGGAAAGGAAGGTACTGCACCATCTGCAAATGGTGACACTAAAGCGGAAGAGGTACTTTCCACGGCCACCTCCCACTGACAGAATCGGTGTCTTAAAAAGAAATTGCTCAGTCCTTCGGCTCTCGACAGCTCGCTCCTAATGTCTCTCTTTATTGCCTGTAATGTTATTGCAGATCCACATCTCTCGTTCAACTGTTTATGTCTCAGCCTGCAGGAGCCCCCCACCCAGCACGCTGTCAGTAAAGGGGCAGATTGAAACAGTGAGAGTTAAGGGTACAGTAGACATTCTGCATGTTTGCAGTGGCTAGACTCAGGTAGTAGCGTGCTGTTTCTTAGTGTGCACACTGGAGCCCTCAGGTAAGGCTTCTGCGGTTGTTTGAGTAGCAGAAAGCAATGAACGCCACAGCGGAAGTGTTGGCATAATGCATTCCTGCCTTGTCTGTTTTCCACCCAGAGTTGAAGTGTGTCTCGAAGTAGACCTGGAAGGAAAACAAGAGGCCAAATGCTCAAAAGTGTGTTTCTTGGTGGGCGGACTCTCCTCCGGTTGTTCTTGTTCTACTGGTAACTATATGTGGTTTTATTTTCTTCTTTCCTTCACAGGCACAGAGAACTGAATCTATAGATAAGGAGGGAGAATGACTTCTCATGGAAAACTGGGGTTGATTTCACGTACCTCTTGGGACAACTTTTAAAAGCTATTTTTACCAAGTATTTTGTAAATGCTAATTTTTTAGGACTCCATTAGTTGGCATAAAATATATATGAAGATGGACATTTTATCCTCTTATGGTGATGTTTTTTGGAAATTTCCATCATCCTCAAGTAAAATAAATAGCAATTTAATATCAGAAGCTGCGTGTAAAATGGATTCAGCATTTTATGCCTTTGCTTTAAAATTTTAGTCCTGTGCATACTGTGGTGTTTTTACTGTGCATATTTGAATTTTTCATGCAATTTTTCTAGAGCAATAATCAGTGGTGCTTTTGTGCCTAGGTTTTATGTGATTTTAATGAAATATGGATAGTTGTAGCCACCTGCTGACTATTTGTGGTTTAAAATAAAGACGTTTTCTTGTCTGCAAAATACTTGTTTGTGTCTTTACTAAATTTAGAAAGTGATTCATTTGATTAATGCAGACAATGTAAAAACCTATCCACAGTTGGTACCATGACGTTATCTCTAAGAAGTCAGACAGCACTGTCTCATAATTTTCTGGACTATTAACATTATTATCTTAATAAAACACGTATGGCAGCTAAGTTAGAAGAATTTCATCTACCTCGCTTTGTAACAGGCATGGCCGGTACAGATGTCATGTATAATAGACCTTAATATAATGCTGACATTTTAAAAGTCCTTAAGAACAAGATAGGATTCTGCTAAACCATAACTTAAGTAAATATATAAATAAAAACAAGCTGGGTAGGGTAGCCCTTGAGAGGGAGAAACAGGTGGATCTCTGTGAGCTTGAGGCCAACCTGCTTTACTTAGCTAGTCCCAGGCCACTCACAGCTGCATAGTGAGACCTTGTCATAAATAAATAAATAGATAAATAAATAACTAGGATAAATCCGGGCTCATCTTTTAATGCCTACCACTTTCAGAATAGCACCAGGCCGGATTTGTATGAAAGTGCTTTCACGTTTGTGTGGACATCAGGGCTGTGAATGCCTGTGTCAGCCTGAGAGGAACAATGGCCAGGATGTTCTTAGGGTTCCTTTGTAGGTGAAGAAACGGGAGTGTGTGACATCACGGGAAGGGAAGAACCCAGGCTTAACTTCACTGATTTTGAAATAATGTCTTTCTGTCTGTGAGAGGGCGTAGCAGCGTCAGGAACAAAAGAGTGATTCTAAATGTAGCTGACTGTTCATGGTCCCCAAATGGGAGCCCCTACCCCCAGAACGCGCAGGGTTCTGCTTGAATGGAAACATCTTGTAAGATGGAAAGTCGTGGCCACATTGCTCAGTGATGTGTGAACAGGGGCTGTTGGTCCTCAAGACCGTCCATGTCCACAAAGCAAGGCCTCTCTTCCAGCATACATTTTGGGTTAGGCACCTAAGCTTGTGTCGCTGTCCTAAATCTGTCGTTAGTACCAACAGTCTGTTAAGGATAGTCTCGTATCTGGTATTCCTTGACTTACTGTTGTAAAGCATGCCTTAATTAATGGGTTTGGGTTGTGCTGAAAGCTGCTTTTCCCCTCAGGGAAAAACATCTGCTACCCCGTGGTATACTTCACAAAAAGTATGTTCAACATTCTGTTAATGCAGAACTGAGGCACTTCACTGGCCAGCGTCCAATGCAGAACTGGACTAGAATGCCCATAAATTCACTTTTTAAGAAGTATAGGGTGATACAGATGATTTTTTTTAAAAAAAATATTAGGCACTACAATAATCCATGGAAAAGTGAATGTGTGTTATTCTTTCCTTGTTTCCATGTTGCAGAGGCCATCACTGGGCATTTGTGATATTTATTGTTGTTTATAAAAGTGGGACTCTTACTAGGTTTTAATTTATTTCGCTAGTAGAGTTGTAATTGAAGAGAGATATCTCCGGCTCTGTTTCTAAGGTTGTAAGCGTGTGTGTGTGTACAATAATGCCCTAGACACAGAGTGTTTAAATCAAAGAAAATATACATTTGGCGTTTTTGACTATTGCCAAAAAATGACACTAATTTCCACTGCTGCCAACAGCATATGAATGCCATCACTCTTAGCTTTGCCAGCCTCTCACGTTGTCCAATCTAGTAAATGAAAATTAACCCTCTACTGTTTTAATTTTAACTTTTTGATGCTTAATATGCATTCAACTCACTTGTGGAAATTTCACTTCTGTCTATCTGTTGGGACGTTGGTGTGTTCCACGTCATCACTCACAATAATCACCAATGGTATATCTGAGTGTGTGGGCATGCTCACCCACCTCCTCAGTCACAACTTCTGTGAACGCTGTGGGGCTGACAGGTGCCAGATGAGCTTCAGAGCCACAGATTGGTTCCCTAGCACCTGAAGACTCACGTACACTGTGCCACAGGAAGGACCCACTGGCTGGGGCCACATGCCATGCGTGGGAATGCCTCCTCACTGCCCACTACCACTCCTTAGGCTAGTTGATACACTTTAGAAACGAGTTCTTCTTCTCCTCCTCTTCCTCCTCCTTCTCCTCCTTCGCCTGGATGCTTATGTGTCAATATGCTTGAAATGGCAGCAGCTCTGTGGATCTTTAATGACCGAGCCAAACAGTGCCCAGTGCAGTTGAGTAGAATTACATACACAATCGTGAGCAGCTCTTCCTGGAGGTTGCCCCGTGGACTCCATTGGAGTTTAGAGTGGCATTTGGAGGTGCACAGCCCTGAAATTCCCAGTCACTTGTTCTGTGCTGAGGCAGCTCGTATATGAGGATCTAACAATAGGTAAACACTCCGGAGTAACATTAAATAATAAATTTGAAAAGATGTCAAATGGTTTCTTTGGTTTCCAACTTTCCCGAGACTTTGCTCTCCTGCCTGCAGATAGAAGTGCTCTTCTTTGGTTTGTTAACTGAACAGGCTTAGGAAAACTACCTCTGCTAAGCTACTCACATGCTAATGACTTTGAATGTTCCTCTCTTAAGCCTGAATTCCAAACTTTTATTATTTTCTATTAGTTTATTGCGAACATTGACTTTTAAATCTCAGAATAATTATAGTGATTAAGTTAATAGCCAGAATTTATTCAATGTCCTGTAAGAAGCACTGCATATAAATTATTAATTTGGGAGATAATTTATGAATTCTTTAATATCATGTACTGTCCTTGGTTAAAAAAAAAACAGTTTTGCATCACTAAATGGAGGTTCTGGCTCACTCTAAGCTTCTTAGTGCATCTCCCTCCTCATGGGAGAAGAGGATGTTTCAAAAGTCCAGTTTAAAATGATCCTTCTATGTCAAATTTTCTGACTTTTGGGGTAAGATATCTTGGGGATGAAACCAAAAGCACAAGAAATCAAATAAAAGATAATTTGGATGACATCTACATTTAAAACTTTTAGAGTAATGAATACAACCCACAAAATGTGAGGAAAACATTTCAAATAATCTGTCTCATATGGTTCTGGGTTCCAAGATACACAGTAATCTTAGATTCCAAGATACATTAAAGCAAACAAACAAAAATCTCTTTTGTGGAAATCCTAACAGGCTTCACCTGAAAGGCAATATTCTACAACAGGCAGGCGATGAGCTCTCAGCCATGCTGCCTAGTTCAGTCTTACTGCCTATGTGTCAATGAACACTTCAATCATTCCTTCCCTATCTTAGTGTTTCCATCGATAAATGGGAATAAAAACATTTTTCCCTGAAGGACATTATAAATCAGTGATTGGGCAATATTGGTACTGTTAATTGAAATGAGAAGTGAACCATAGGTTCCTGGATGGTAGGAAGGCAGCATTTGTCCAGTTTTTTTCCTGTGTCTCTTGAGCTTGACACATTGCCGAATAAATACATGCTGAACTGAATGTTGTCCTCAATGGACAGGGAGGAGACATGCTTGTAACCACTGAGGTATTCATCTCATTTAGTTTCTGTTTATATAAAAGACTTTTAAAACACCAATGCCACAGTCTTAAGGACATATTTCTGTTGGTTGTGGCCCTATCCTTGTGATAATATTTAGCCTGTGTACTTAGATCTAACCCCCTCTTTTTTCAATAAATATATACTGTGATTTGTGATACCTTTCACTTTCGGTTGTAAAATACTAACCAGTGAACAGAGAATATTCCCTTAGAGATTCTATACCTGAACCTAGATTAATGGGCCTCGTGAGTTCCTTGAAGCCTGGCCATAAACTTGGAAGGTCGGAAGAACGCCTGAGGTCATCTGCCCCCTCTCTGATGTGCCTTAAGTCCCCCCCCCTTAAAATAGGGCTAAACAAGAGCTTCTCAGATGGACAAAAGGAGTTGTCACCCAAGAGCCAGCTGTGCTATGCATCACTAAAATACCACTGGAAAGGTAGGAGCAGGAGGATTAGGCATTCAAGGCCAGCCTAGGTGGCATGCAATCCTCTCTTGTGAATGCAGACACAGACACAGGCACAGAGACACACAGCTACCACCAGAGCAACTATGAAGGTTACAAAGTACTTCAAAAATACATTTATTTCAATTTCGGCATTTTTAAAAGATTTATTTTTATTTGTGCGTGTGTGTCTTTGTGTGTACACACGTGTACAGGTGCCCACGCAGGCCAGGGAAGAGCATCAGATCCTCTAGAGCTAGAGTTACAAGCAGTCATGAGGCACCCAGTGTGGGTGCTAGCAACTGAACCTGGGTCTTCTGTAAGAGCAGCATGCGCACTTAGTCCTGAGTCATCTCTCGAGCGTCACAAAGTACTTTTTAACTGCTGAGTCACTTCCAGTTATTAGTCCCAGTTCTGTTAGGATGCAGGCATATAATTTAAGTCAGTTCTGCTTTCTTAAGCATCTGAAAACGTTATGATCCTATCTGAAACACTCAGCCATCCTCAGAGATTATGCTAGTATACACAGGTCTCTTTTAAAATATGCTGTGTTTAAATTAGCCTTTCAAATTCAGATGTTTGAGACATAAGAGGTTTTTGAAAACAATCCAGCCCAGGTTGAACACCGGAAATGCCTTGCTTATTTTGAGCCCAGAAAAACTGGATTCAAGCGCCTATACCCACACTTTCCTCCAGCCTCCCGCTCCAACATTGTATCCTCTCTTCTGTGGGTTAATCCCAAACTCCGGCTAAGATATATTTTCCTGGGTAGAGCCGTCCAGAATTCTATCAGAGTCTTTCTTTCATATTGTTAATATAAATACGTGTAAGTATTAGGTGTTTTGCAGGGTACCAGGGATGTGTACAATAGTGAGGTTATTCTCCCTGCACTTATGGGGCTTAGCTTCTCGTGGAGAAGCCAACATTCGTTACATAGTAGCACAAATAGGGCACATTTGCAGTAGCCATTACAGTATCCTAACATCTTCCACATTAAACTCTCATTCCTCTAATGGATTTTATTTCCTGGACTATGTCTCACAGTCCTAACAGAAGTCAGCCATAAACAAACTCACAGAAACTAA